GTGTGGGGCAGGAAGTGGAGAGGGTTTGGGTCCCCAGCCCCTGCATGCCTTCCATCTACCAAGCATAATGGTGTGACTTGGGGGACATGGGGGCTCGCTTCCTGGGCATGCATTGGTGCCACATAAACCAAAGTCATCATTACTCAGCGACTCTGGGAAATGGAGATCTCTTTCAACCAAGTAGCACAGCCTGGTTGAGGAGTGGAGATGGCCCAGTGGTGAGGACTCAGGGGCCGTTCTGGAAGTCTTCATCCAACACATCTCTCCTTCTCTCAATTCTCAGCTCCCTTTCTCCCTCCCTCAGAGGAAAATGACGAGAGAAGGAGAACATCAGGCAGAGCACTGACATACAGTAACACCTACTTTTAAAACAAATACACCAGCCGGGCGGTGGTGCCGCACACCTTTAATTCCAGCACTTGGGAGGCAGAGGCAGTCGGATCTCTGAGTTTGAGGCCAGGCTGGACTGACAGCCTCCAAAACAATACAGAGAAACCCTGTCTCATAAAACCAAAAAAAAAAAAAAACCAAAAAACAAACCAAATATACCAGGAATCACACATCCCAACAAACAGGACCCTTGTTGAAGCAAGCCTTGCCGCAGCTTTCAGACAGCTTTGGGCGTTTCCACTGGCAGTGGTGTCTAGGACCAGCTTCTGACACGTTCAAGTGAGACAGTCACTATTGCCTGCTTATCCTCTGCTTTGATAAACTGCGCTGGTTTGCTTCTCATCCTGGGCCCCTGGCTTTCCCATCAGATCCCATCTGGAATGGCTTCATTCAGGCAAGGATTTGTTTTGCTGCCCCAGTCAACATGGTGAGTCAAGAGTTGGGGTCTGTTTCCCACAATGGCTCCATGACAGGGCAAATCACAGAATATTCTCTCTCTCTCTCTCCCCTCTCTCTCTCTCTCTCTCTCTCTCTCTCTCTCTCTCTCCCTCTCTCTCTCTCTCTCTCTCTCTCTCTCTCTCTCTCTCTCTCTCTCTCTCTCTCTCACACACACACACACACACACAAATACTTCCTTGTATGCAAATTCAAGCAACAGTATCTTGTATCTCCTAGGACCACACTGAAAAATACGCAACACCTTTTGCAAACAGAGATGTAGAACGCAGTGCGATTTCTCCTCCATCTGTCCTGGATTCTGGTTATATAAACAGGGAGAACTGTCAAGGTCGTACATATCTACTCTTCCCAGGCTGAATTCAACTGTTTAAACCAGACAGTTTCACTTCTTTTCAGTATAAGAACAAAGGCCTTTAACAAGCTGTGATGGTTGGAAGAGCTGTTTTAGTTACAAGATAAAGTTCACAAAGGGGCTCGCTGGCCAGCAGCGCTTTCTTCCTCTCCCCAGACCCAACCTACAGTCTCAGGACTCACGTGGACCCACAGGCCTGGCCGACCCTGACCTGGATACTGGAGCAACACACAGGAACCTCTGCGGAGCAAGTTTCCCCTGGCTGCTACCCATTTCCTCCATGGAAGGATACAGAGCCCTAAACCTACTGTAACCTGCATTACAGCTGGGCTTTCAGTTTCTTCCTCGGAGGCAAGCTTCTCGGACAGGACGGACACTTTGGGTTCTAATTCTGTTGTGGTGGTCACAGTGTGGGAGTCACTTCCTGGGAGGAAGTTAGGCAGCTTTAGAAATTGCATCAGTCCTCTCAAATCTCTTGCCACAATGCAGAGTCCGGAAAAGTAATTTACTCTGGGATCTTGGTGGCTAAGAAGCTACATGCTGCTTTTGCTTTAAGCGGTCCCATGTTTATACCAATCTGGTCCAGTCCCACTTGGGGCATCTGCCCCTTCCACAGGCACTGAGATGCAGGACACTGACGGTATTGCTCTCCACTCTTGGCTTTAGTAGCGAACAGGGCACGCTCCCTCTGGAACATGCTTCCAGAACCATAGGGGCTTACATGTAATGGGCACACCAAAGGACCTGTTCAAAGCATCCCAAACTCCAGTGTGGGCACTAAGTTTGAAATCTGAGGTGTGTGTGTGTATGTGTAATGAGGTCAGAGGTCAATGTCTCCACCTATCATCCCCCAATTTATATTTTGATTGCTTCTCTTATTGAATCCAGAGCTCCATGATTGGCCAGACTGGCTGGCTGGCAAGCTTGAGGATCTGCCTGTGTCCCCCCTCCTCCTTGTCGCTAGGGTTACAGATGTATGCTGTCATGCCTGGCTTTTTACATGGGTACTGGGGATCCCAACTCAGGCATTCACCCTTGTGCAGCAGCAGGCATTTTACCTGCCAAGCTATCTCCTCAGTCCGATGTTAGGTAAATAATACTTACTGAGGCCACTTAGGCAGGGGTAAAAAGGTAGCTTGCACAGTATGGGTAGCATACGGTTTAGAAGAGGGAGTAGAAAAAGCAGCCAAGGGTTGCTAATGATCTAGCATCGGTACAGGGCAAGGGCTTATTAAGATGTAAGTGCACCCTTCTCCTAATGCATTATTACAGTGCTTTTCTCCAACCCACAAAGGAGTAAGACACACTTAGTTATCTTCCACTTTGCTTTCTGAGAAGACATCAGTCAAATCCCTGACTGTGATGGCATTTTCCTTCATCAACTTCTGTTGGGCAAATGCTATGGATGAGAGTCATGCCTGGAGAACATATGCAATATGAGCAGCCCTAGTTGATGTAAAGGAAAGACTAAAACAGAAATGGCAAGAATCGGGAACTAAGTAAGTAACCAACAGGTCGCTAGAGGTTTGCAGATGTGCAGGCACAGGCCCTGAAGCATGCCGGCTCAAGGGACAGTGTAGACGTGAGTTCATGGAAGGAGCTCAAACGGACTTGTGTGCATGCAAGGCCTGAACAATTTCAGTGAGAAAAGAGCTTGGAAAAGCATCCAGTCTTAATCATTTTCACAAAAAAAAGAGACAAACATTATTACGTAGTGTGGCTGCCATCTCTATATGGTGTCTTTATTGATGCATAAGCCAGCAGCCATCAAAGCCCTTTCTTCAAAACTCAGTTTTATTTTACTTCATCTATTTCTGGGGATGTGAAGTCTAACTCTATTATAAAGATCAAAAGAGCCTTCCAGGTTTCTTCAGCATACTATAAGAAAATGGTTGCTTCAAACCAAGAGAAGAATTAGAAATGTCCCTGAGTTCCACGAACAGAAATCTGATCAACTGGTTCATTTCCATTGCATGCAAAGAGGACAGGATTTCTCAGCTATAGAATATAATTCTTATATTATCTGCTGTGGGCTGGCCAGGTATACTTCAAGGTTCAAGTTCAAAAAAGTAGCTCATTTTCAACTTTAAATGAACTCTTATTTTGTAGTAAGGCCTACTATTTCACAGCAAGGTGTGTGTGTGTGTGTGTGTGTGTGTGTGTGTGTGTGTGCCTGGAGATTACACACCAAAATAATTTTGGAAATGAATCATTGTATTCTAAGTGGCAGGCAAAAACAACTCCAAAGGAGGAGGAGAGATGAAAACTTTCTTTAGGATGCTAGAGTATGGTCTCTTACTAAGAAAGCCCTATTGGCTGGATGTCCCTGTCTCTGAACATGCAAGAGATGTTTCCTGTTGTTAGAAATCCTCTATCAGCAGCGTCCAGGGGTCCTTATCAGGTGGGTCCTCCTGGGAAGAGGTTTCCACCCATTCCTTATCACTGGCAGGTAGAAAATCAGGTTTGGCCTTTGGTACAGAAGTAAGCAGGAAAGGGTAAACACTCTGAGACTCCGGAGCCAGCCTCTGGTTCTCATCCTCCCTCTGTGTAGAAGGATCTTTAACACAAGGCCACGGACCCAGACAGATGCTATGTCCCAGGAGCCCTCCCAGAGTGAACTGCAAACATGTGGATGTCTGTTTGTGATGCCTGGTGCCTGAAAAGGATGCTGAAAAGGGAGAAACAAAAACAGCACGGAATACGCAGAAGAAGGTGCTTCCTAGGGTGCAGGGCAAGACCTACGCAAACTGAAATCAAACACGGTTTATTTTTGGTGCTGTAACTTTAGACCAGCTCCAAGGTTAGGACAGTAGATGACAACCAGCATGTTTTCCTCCTCGCACCCTCTAAACAATACACAGACACCCATTCTGTTTCTCCAGCCTTTCCATTACATCACGCCTCTTTGTTTTCACGGAAACATCTTTAATGCTGACTCTGGCAATGAGGGTGGCATTCCGTGGCCACTGCGACCGGCAGCTGACAAAGGAGTGGAAGGGCACAGGGCGTTAGGAGAGCGTGCCCTCCACCATCAGCAGTTGCTGTCCTGGGGTCACAGTGAATGCCACACGAGTAGCCCATGGGCTCACCACATGACGCCAGCTTCTGAAACTCAATTTGTGGGTCCCCTCTTGTCACTCTGACAATGTCTAAAGGATACTGAGGTTTGAGGCTAAGGCCCTGCCCCCAACACAGCATGGCAGAGAGCATGATATTTCTACCTGGGTCACAGAAGTGACCAAGGAAGCCAAGGGCCTTTAAAGATGAGGAAAGACAGGAGGAAGGTGACCACCAAGCATCATTACTGTATTCCCATCCTCCAGAAGGTCACCACAGGGATACGTTGTGCTGGCCTCTCTCTTGGGGAAGCCAGAAGCTCCACTCCACACGGGGAGATAAACACCACCCCATGAATGGTGCTAGACTGGCTGCAGTCTGTACTGAAGAAACAGGAGTTCACCGAGGCAGGGGACACTCACATTGTGTTTACATCTCCAGGTACAAACATGGCTTCACTTCATGTACACAGTACCTTTGAGAAGCACAGGCCTCCTCTAGAGGAGGCAAATGAGGCAGACTGTATCATATCAGCAAGATGCTGAGCCAGTGTGTCTCAGAGATGGGACCATAACTCTGGCTCCAAGGCAAGTTCCTTACAGTGTGCACAAGTTTTTAATTTTAAAGAAACACATCAGAATATTAGATTCTAGTGTCCTGACATTATGACTTAAAACTATGTAACACTAGCTCCATGGGTTCTGTGTTCTGATGACGCCGATACAAAGGTATTTGATTCCGACTGATACACCAGGATGTCGAGATCACCCTGAAACACCCAGAAGCCCGAGCACAAGGGAGGCTGCGCAGCAGGTGGGTTTGGCACAGAACGCAGATTCCTCTCTGTCAGGCAGCCATTCTTACACTTACTCATTGACCGTCACCACGCAACTATAGCACTACAGTGCATGAGGGGGAAAACAGTTCTGACTCAGCCAGGGCAGCCTGACTCCTTGTGAGAGCGCCACTTCAAATATTAGTCAGGACTAACACACAGCAAATATGAAGCATGCCTATGCGCTAATCAGGCAGGTATAACAAGACCCGGTGAAGAAAACCATGCTTTAGTCAGTCTACCAGAAAACACATTTTCACAGACCTTTAGAGACCCATGCTGAAGACGTTCTGAAGCGACTCAGTCACGTGTAAATAGACTGTCTTAACTGCATTCACATGCGAGTTCTCAACCACGTGTTCATGTGTTCAACAAACAAAGAGCTTTTACTAAAAAATAACTAATGTTTCACAAACCCTTCTTAAGTTCAAAGATTCACTGGCTGGGGGAACTTCTAGGCCTAAAATACCCTAAATGTGACCTAAAATGTCAGAGAAGGTAGCGTGTAGCTACCAATAAGCACATCTTCCCCAAACCATAATTTTCAAGGTAATATTCTAAGCGAGACTTGTGGCTCAGCTAGCACGGGGTGCTGTTCCTCTAGACCAGCCTGGCGGCAGCACATCAGAGTACCTCGCCTTCCAAAGCCGACAGGCAACTATCGTCGGACCCTATCTGCTAGACTAAGAATAGTCTTTATAACCAAAGCAGTGCTCTTTCCACGGAAAAGCCGACCTGGAAAAACTGAATCACAGGCATACAGAGGCTCCGTAGGAAAACTCATGTCCCCCTTGCCAAAGCTGAGGGCAGGGTACGCATCTTCACAAACACAACTAGTGCAGACAGGGTGCCGGCCACCGGTTTACTCCTCTGCTCTCCCTCTGGGGAGGCATGGAGCCAATATCTCGTTCAGCCCCGAGGGGCTTTTTCCTCTGGAAAGGAATGAGACGGGCACGTAACACGTGGCCAGCAGCAAAACGAGGACACTTGATAGCATCCTAGGCTCTCGGGGTGAAGAGCGTCGCAGCAGAGAGATCTGGGAGCTCCAAGGACCCACGCCTCATGTCTGCTATCACACAGCAGAATCACCAGCACGGCACCTGGCTCACACCCATGCTACCTTTGAGCCATCTTTACAGTCGGAAAGCCTATGAAAATACAACCAAGGCTTGTGTGTATTTGTTCAGGAAGGCAGAATACAAAAAATTAGAAAATCAATTAAGATCCTCCATTAAAATGATTGGGTAATTACTACTTAGTTTCGTTCGAGTAGAAGGATGAATTCCCTAATGATAGGTATTATAAGCAATTAGACAAAGCTGCTCACTTTTCAAAATTAATCACCAATCCTATTAATTATGTCTGTATTACATATCCTACTAAATTAGCACACGTAATAGGAGGCCTTCACACATCAAAGGAGAGCCGTTATCGCCCCACATTAGTGAGCAGATAATTTAGCTGGAAGGAACACAAACACTTGTAATTAGAAGCCTACTTTCAGTAGGATCACCCACTTTTCACTGCTCTTATGCTGAGAAAATGAAAATTCAAAGGCAAATGTGAGCAAACTCCTTGGTTTTTATATGAGAACAGGTTGGTTTCACAGTAGCTGTGAGGTTGTCGGAGCAATGGCTACCAGCAGGAGGCCTGGGGCCAGAGCAAGGCCAATGCCCCTCCTGACCTGGGCAGTCCCTAGTGAGATATATGTGATTCTGAGGACCCACAATCTGGGGTGAAACTGAAAATGCCCCAGACAGGACCCAACACAATCACTGGCTCTCACTGCTCTCTGGGAAAGCAATCTGGTGCTCTAAAGAATGGAACCATGGCCCCTCTCACTGCTTCCCATTTGCTGGAGGACTAAGGATCTGAACTCAGCAACAGCTCTGAAGTGCTTTTGGGAAGGCCAGCTTTGCCCAGGCCTGGTGCTGTAGAGGGGCCAGGCTTATGGGAAGCTGGGACAAGTCAGGTAGTAAGAGAAAACACCCCAAAATAAAATAGGCAAATCAGACAGGAAATTCCTAAGTTATTTCATGAACTCAATTTCAGTGCTTGAATAGGAGGGCCACGCCACACAACAGGAATAGTTTAATGGGAGTATGTACAAAATAAGCATGCTTATCATACTTATTATACCTAATCAGGACTTCAAGTATACAACAGGTATGGAACAATAAAGATTCATGAATTTCATGTACCCTTAAGATGAATCCCAGGCTTATAGAATACAAGTGAACACACACACACACACACACACACACACACACACACACACACACACACACACACGCACACACACACACACACCAGTGGGTAGGAGTGGAGGGCTGGAACACAACATGCACTTGTATGAACCATAATTTAAGGAAAGTGCTTCAAATCTAACTGAAAACCCAGATCACAAATTTTGGCCAAATAAGTCTTTCTTGCCTTCATTAAAGAATGCATACTCTAAATGATTCAGGAACTGAGTATGATGGGAAAAAAGCAGAAGACAGGAAATACTAAGGTCAGCAGAAGGTTTCTTTCCACAATTTGGGGAATTGCTTTTGTGAGGAAAGAGATGTGATTTACCATTATCACATGAAAACTAAAGTAACCGGCTTTAGTGATGACACAGCAAAACATAAGGAATGTTCAGTTAACAAAACCTTCTGAGAATGTCAACACGAGAGAAACTGGTTAGGAGACTTTCTCCCCCTCTGAAGCTAACATGGAATTCTTAGGCCATCTTGGCTCTGATTTCCCAAGGATTAGCCATGTAATCCCGGGAGGTTCATCAATTCCTTTTGTCATTAGAGTTCTGATATGCAAATGGGACACTACTGTCTGTACTCCCGTGCGAAGGATGAACAGTATCTTAGTTACATCTTGGCTTTAGATAATCCCAAAGGCAGCATGTCATTTCTTTCACAACTTTAGCCAGCTCTTTGAAAGTAGCTAATTTGGATGTATGTCCTGATGTAGTTTTTAGTTCCATTTAGGAACAATGCTTACGGGTTTCTCTTTCCACTGGGAAATCACCAGCTGTCCCAGTTTCCACAGACATTCCTGATCTGTAGTTGCTGTTACATCACAATTACCCACAGTCCTCACTCAAGAATGGTCACTCCAAGGAGAGAACCCAGATTTCAAGACATGTTGTATTATAGTCTTTGTGTATATATAATACACACTCTCTCTCTCTCTCTCTCTCTCTCTCTCTCTCTCTCTCTATATATATATATATATATATATATATATATATATATATATAGCGTATTTAGCTCTGTAAAATTCCCACGAACAGCATTCTATGACCCGGGTATTACTCACAATACTTGTGTAGAAGGCACGCAAACGCCACTGGTAGCCAGTGTACAATACCTGCAATTAACTAGCGACTGGCATGTGCTTTCATTTGCTACTGTGGGGCTGAGCTGTGTCTTGTCTCTCTTTTGACTTGATGCAACAGCGACAGAGACAGTGAGAGCCCTGGGAGCCAGGGCTGTCATTGATTAGAGGTGCCAGATGTCTCAGCTTTCCTTCTGGTCCCCAGGGCGGCATCTGGCTCACAGCCACAAGACCAGTTTGGTTGGGACGTTAGGGGCTAATATCCCTGTGTCCCCTGCTTACAGGCTGTAGCACTATGGGCCACAAGGAGAAAAGAGAACTATCGTTACACAGGCCTCACTCTGTGCTCAGGCCACCAACATGCACAGTCACGTGGCTCAAACAGGGTCATTTCACTGCCCTGTCTGTAGGACAGGAAAAGACAAATAGAGATTGAACGAATATTTCATATTGAGTTGGTCTCAAGGGAGAGGCAAGTTATATAATGCACATTCTCTAATACGGGGAATGGTATGGGGGGTGACTATCACCAGGTACAGAGAGCTATGCTATTGAAAACGCTGAACTGGCGAAGGGTCCCAACAGAACACAATGGCGCTATAATGCCATTATGTTTCCGAGACAGCAGCTATTGACTCTTCATGCTTTCCATATCCTGGGAGCCCATCTCCCCCATCTTTCCCCTGATGAATGCTCCTACACTGTGTCCGTATGGCATACCAACCAGAAAAACCAATTTAAGAAACACTTAACTGATCTACGCACATGGCTGTCAATGTCAATTTAGTGGTCACCTGGGAGATCTTACCTAGGCAGTAGGGACAACACTGGCCTTTCCTCAACACAGGCCTTTCACAGGTCACAGAAGGGCAGGACTCAGAGTAACAGCTAATTACACTATCCATGCACACGCAGCTGGTGCAAACGTCAGGCTTCCAGGACTCAGCCGCCAGGAATATATCCCCTTCATCATTTTTGCAGTAACTAGGCACGCTCTCATTATGGGATGTGGAAGGCTGAAGAGGTTCATCTGGAAAAATGAACATATAGATCAGCAAGGACAATGCTGCAGCTACCAACTACATACACAGCATAGCTAAGTGTCAATCAGACTCATAAAGACGACCCATCTCTAAGGCTCTGGGGGCCTCATTTAAAAAGGGAGGAGGGAAGGAAGGAAAGAAGGGAGGAAGGGAGGAAGGGAGGAGAAAATGGCCGGTCATAAAATCAGGAAGCCTAAGAGGGAAGATCTTGTATTTTAAAACAGAGTAACAACAGGAAAAAAAAAAACAACAAAAAACTTTCATTGAGATTCACCAGGGGCTCGCACAGGGTCTACTCTAACCTTCTGTCTTAACCTTAAGCAATGTCTTCATTTTCTTTGGAGGCTCATGGAACTTGGATCACAATGGCTCGATCAGGAAACCTCTTTCCTGCTTTCCCAGGCTCCCTTGCAATCCAGAAGTGGGGGTGGGGGTGATCTAGCTGCAGCTCAGGTCTAATGAAGGAATCTCTAGGGTTGCTTCCGCTTTTCTTCCGAGGGTGGGGGCACTGCTGCCACCATCCCTCCCCTTCCTCCTCCCCTGAAGATTGTGCTGGCTGAAGTCACAGACTCACTTCAGCCACTGAGCCACAGGATCAACAGTGATCCCTACCTGCCTCAAGCTTCATGTAAAGTCAAGTAAGACTTGTTTAAATTTCACAGCTAGGTTCTCTCTTACTCACAGCCATCACAGTCCTAACCACTCAATATTCAAGTATGTTTCACTGCACCACACCACCTAGACACCTATCTGTAACAGACATTCCCATAGTGACGGAGGGCTGGCAACCCACGTGAAGCATTAGGACGCCACCCAGGGAAACCATTTGCAAGCTGTCTGTGGTTATGCGATGGAAGGTCTCCACATCGCATGACAACCTGAAACGGGAAAGAGTGTTGCCAGGAAACACGGATCTCCTTGGGGGTTGGCAGCTGCAGAAATGAATGAAAGTCAAACCCAAGAAGACATTTGAGCTGTGAAAAAGGAAATGCAAGTTCGTGGGGTTCCTACTTCAGAGATATCACAATGCCTTAGGAGTCTAAAAACAGTAGGCCAAGCAAAACCCGAATCCAGCCACCTCTTCTCAGTGGGCACAGCAGAGGGTTTCCTTGTGTGCCTCTGAATCAGCATAATGAACGCTGCCGGTCTCAGCCACGAGACAGAAGTATGAAGCAGACATGCAGTTATCACACGTTGCAGAAGCTCTCAGTGGGGCCTGCTCCTTCCTTCCTTCCTTCCTTCCTTCCTTCCTTCCTTCCTTCCTTCCTTCCTTCTTTCCTTCCTTCCTTCCTCCCTCCCTCCTTTCCTTCCTCCCTCCCTCTCTCTCTCAGGTTTATTTATTTATTATGTATATATACATCATTCTGCCTGCAGATCAGAAGAGGGCACCAGATCTCATTACAGATGGTTGTGAGCCACCATGTGTGTGCTGGGAATTGAACTCAGGACCTCTGGAAGAGCAATCAAGTGCTTTTAACCTCTGAGCCATTTCTGCAGCCCCTGGAGCATCTTTCTTAACCCCTGCTTCACAAATACACCACGCCCATCTCCTGTGAACACTGGATCCTCTTTGAAGACCAAGGCAGCTGAGGGCCTGAGGGGAGCTAGCACAATGGGGATAGTCCCAAAGCTCTCCTGAACCTCAACCACTTCTCCCACATCAGGCCTGAAAGTAAAGTCACAGACACCAGATGTTGATTCCATGGGTTCCAACTCACTATGGGACTTTGTTTCGTGGATGGTTCCTTATGCCCCACCCATATTCTGTAAAATAAAGATGGAAGGAAGGGATTCTGCTTTCAGTGACCTTTCTGAGGTCATCCATGCCAAGAGAGAATGTCTTTCTTAAGAGGCCACTGCTAACTTCCGTTTTGGTTGGAAGTAAGCGCAACTCAGGTTGGCTTGCCGCTCCAGGCCCTGAAGTCCCAAGGATTCTTGCAAGCTGCCCTTGCTTAGAGCTCTTACAAGCAAGTCCAACTCTGTGACTGAAACCTGAGATGGCGAAGATAGGACAGCAACGACAAAGACAGGAAATGAATGTCTTAACATCTAGAGGCTTCTCACTGATGGCCAGAGACTCCAGAGGACAGCAAGATGTACTGCTGTGAGGGAGCCAGAGAGGTGCAGAGTAGGCCATATACTCCCACAAGACAGGGGGTGCCCAACCAAACCCTGTCCCCAGCGCCGCCTGGCTCAAAACCCGGATTCCTCCTTTCTCTTCCCATCCCCTGGCCCCAGAGATGGTCTAACACTGTTCAGTTCTCATTTTACTAGTGTTTCCCTGGGTGGCGACCTATCCTCTTATTTCTACTGTGTCTCCCTGTCTCTCTTACCCTATTATTTTATTTAGAAAAAAAAAACACAGAAATGTAGAATAAAGAAACAATGTAATTTATCCTCTCCTCATTTTTTTTTTTTTTTGAGACAGGCTCGTTTGGAACTGCAGCCTAGGCTGGCCTCAGAGTTGTGGGACAGTAACCCTTCCTCAGCCTCTGAAATGCTGGGATTACAGATGTGAGCCATCATGCCTGTCTCTCTCCTGTCTGTACTTCAGGTATCACACTCTTGGTTCGGGACCCCTCTCAGGAGGCAGGCCACAGGTAAGGCAAAATGGGAGGCGCCCCACAGGCGCAACCGCCATACAGACACAGGTCTTGTGGGCAAGTCCGTATCATTCTTAGATCATGTGGTAACCCAAGGCTGGCCTTTGTCTAGATGTGTAATAAAGCACTTAAAAATGTTACTCTTCAAATTTATTGTGATATAAAAAATACCAACACCTTAAAAGTTCTAAGACAGTGGGAGAGAAGCAGACATGGTAGCTCGAACTCATAATTCCAGCATTTGAGAAGCCGAGGCAGTAGGATTCTCACTTAATAGAATTCTTGTCGCTGCAGTCTAGCTATCAATAGAAAGGCCCAAAAGCCCCACTAAGGAGTCAGTAGTTCACTTAAATACTGTTTAGTCTAACATGGGTCTCATTCAGATATCCGAAAGTAACCTTTGGAATATATACATATACACACACATACACACACACATACATACATACATACATACATGCATACATGCATACACACACACATATGCAAAGTTTAAGGTGAGAGCTAACACTGAATTATCTATATATGTTAAAAACATTAAAATATTTGTCGCCTTGGCCTAAGTTTATAAATGAGAAGAAAAGGCCAGGTGTAAGATGGACCCAGTGACTCAAACCCACAGAGAGAAAAGCAGAAAGCCATGTCTGGCTTGACAGGAACCGGAGGGGCCTCTGCAATGCAGACTCGTATCGTGTGAACTGGGCCTAACCCTGGCCTGGGCCTCGTCCATGTCTTGTTTCTGGGCTCAGTCTGTGAGTGAGGTAGGTGGCCATCAATGAATCCTGGCTTGCTGTCACAGAGAGGTGCCTTCCCCTTAACCTCTCCTGGTCACTCAGCCCCCAACCCTGAAGGCACAGGACACTTCTTTCTGCCCTCACATCTTCTCGAGCTGCTTGCCTGCCCTCAAGCCCTTCTTTTCACAGCTCCTCTCCGGGCACCACTATTTCCTCAACGTAGAACACCACACTGACTAACACTCCCCAGGACAGAAGTTATTTTGTTTTCATTAATCTCAGGATCCCCAGGGCTAAATTCAGGCATTCCAGAAATGCCTGCAAAATAAGTAACTAAATGAATATAAGCAAATGGCTATAAGCTAACTGTCACCAAATATTTCCTATCAGGCGGATTTGGCAGTCACAGATCTTCCTTAATAGACAGACACCAGCGGAGCTTGCATCCATATAACATGGTGATCATGACAAAAACATGGTTGGAACAGGTTACACATACCCTAAATGTATAACACACACGGACGACTTACGCCAGATGACGTTCTGCACTAGGTAGGCCTGTCAGATTAACATGGCTGCTATATATACCAAGAAATCTGTCCCAAGATGGTACCTGGGCTGAGTATGCTGACAGAAAGACAGAACAAGAAGCTGGACAGATAACTAGACAGTCAGTGTGAAAAAGGAAGTAATAAACATGGAGGGTTATGTTCTACTGAGCAAAATCTCACTGGCTGTATACACAGGAGTGCTGAAGGTTCTAGCTGGAAACCTGGGGAGATTAAACACCGACTACAACCAGCTGCTTTGGTGATTTTATGTGTTGAATTAAATTTGTTTTCTAAAAGCCATTTATTCTGGTGTTAACAGAACTACTATTTTCCGTTATAAAACCAGTAGTGTAGCCCACATTTGATATCTCGACAAGTTTACATTATAACACGTTTCCTTCATGACTTTACCTGCTGAGGTCTGAGAAATCACCGGAAGGACACAGTAGCAGCCCTCATGCATATGCAGCGATACCCACTCAACACTCTTGGTCCTAACTTACTAATCACAGTTCTGGAAGGGCATGGGCATATTTTCAAAGTAATTTTACAACCTCTATAATTTCAAGGAGTTTTTTTTATAGTACTCTCCAATAACTAGTCTTCACGTTTGTTAGAAACAAATGTGTCTTGTAGGTGACTTTTTACAAGGGCGAAGTCATCTTAAGTGACCCCACACTCCTTGTACACCGTTAGTCTGAAGTAGAAGGCTAAAGGAAGAAAGGGAGAAGCCCTTTCTCTTTCAAAGTCAACTCGGGAGGATGCATATTGATTGTTGTATGTGGTAATGGGGAATGGATTGAGGAAGCAGGCAGCCAGAGGTTGCTGCCCAGGTTCCTGCGATTGCACAGAACTCACCCCGACGCCTAGGTCCACAGAGATATCAAACCAAGCTGGCGCCATGCCACCATGCTGATTACCTGTGCACTGAGGGCAGCAGGAGTCCTGGGTGCGTGAGGGGCTCTGGCAGAGCAGTGGCGGGCACACCTCGGTCTCACACAGCACCCGGCCGCTATGGCACGTGCACTGTGTACAGGAGTCAATGCTCCACGTCTCCCCCTCCACGAAGTACTCTCCTCCGGGCGCATGGCAAATGGAAGGAGTGCTGAGCTCTGGCTTCTGCACCACAAAGTCATCTGAGGAACGAGACAGAATCAAAACACGGGAAATTATTCACCTGCAGCTTCTGCAACTGCCCAAGACAAGGGTGGTGTTTGCCTTCAGGGAGACATACGCTGAAATGCCCAAAGAGTGAGACAGCTCACCCTATTCCTATCCCATGAAAGGAAAGGAAAGAACAAATTCCATGCCTAGAAACACGAGACAAAGAGCTAATCCCAGGAAGTGAGGTTTGAGTAGCTGAGTCTGTCGATAGTCCTGAGAGAATTCAGTAAGAATTAAATTGCAGGGAAGTCCACTGGCTGGAGCATCCCTGAGGATACAGGAGTTGCCCAGAATAGAGATCACTCATTTATCGAATGCTTGTTATGGCCCAATTATTTCCAGGCTGGGTACTTCTCACTTATTTCTTTTCTTCCTTTCAATGACCTTGTGAGGGAGGCACTATTATTCTATTTTACATAGTTTGGAAGCTACCAGTTCAGAGCATTAAAGCACAGTCAAGGGGGTTGAGCTGAAGTCAATGGTTATTTGGAAAACGGATTTGCCTCTGGATTAAACAGAACTTCCAAATGATGGATGTCCTGTCTACGTTATTATCTTGGGATTCTGAATACTTTTATGCTTGGAAATATGGCCCACTGTCAAGGAGCCACACCTCATCTCAGCCAGCTGCCAGTACCCTGAGCAGGAATGTACCTACACAATCAATGCTCTGAAACCCTTCACCTGAGACTAAACATTTGGTGGACAATGCCGTCATCAGCCAGAGACATGCCGGGAGTCTGATGACCGTGAGTTCTTTCCCCGCGGTGGAGGTGTGAGACAATACTGAAGGAGAGACTTTAACGTTGAAATGTCTACAGAGGCACTGGGAGTTGCCCTGATGTGGGGCTGGGAAGTTAAGACGGCACTATCCGTATTCCTGGAGTCCAAGAACAACAAGGGTTTCATGGAGGTGTCGACAGGGGTGCATCCTGCCGAGAAAGGGTCTAGAGACATCGCTGCTGGCCCGGGCCTAGTGCTCAGCTGATACTGAGTGCTGAGGGAACCACCCTGTCTATGGAGAAACGGTCAGAGCTGAGTGTACTGGAGCTGCTACCTACAAAGCAGTGGTGTGTGTGAGTCAACAATACTGCTGGGGTATGGTGGGGTGGGTGACGTCCAGCTTAGGAAACGGCTTTCAGGGTAGGTTCATCTCCTGGGAACTAGGGAAGACCAAGCAGACAGACTCAGAAAACAGACAGCTGAACTAAAATCCCAGGACACGAGCAGTGGAGAAGGAAGGAAATGAAGGTGGGGACAAGACGTTCAAAGAGTATTTCCTGAGGCTTAGAGAGAGAGAGAGTCTCCCTGAAAACCTAACATCGGAAAAGAGCTCGCAGAGAACAGACAACGCAGGGGGAGTCATCAGGAGATGTGTTTGCAGGAGTCTTACTTTCCCTACTCTCCTTGCCATGTCACGGTCCTGCCTTAGAGCAAAGCAGAGGGGCTGGGGGTTGGCGAGGAAAGGGTAAAGGATGAGGAGGGGGTGGGAGAAGGAAGCAAGAGATAGCGTGCCATCTGGGGAATCACACGGCTGAGGAGTTAGGGAGCACTGCCTTCACCCCAGGGAAACACTCTGCATGGCAGAAGGAAGCAGCTGTTCTTCAAGGTAGGAAGGAGTCCATGGGGATGGAAGGCCTTCAGGGTTTCTAGTCAGAAGAGCCCACATACAGCAAACCACTAAAGATTCTAATAAGGACGGACTCTACACATGCATGCAAGGAATGCTTTTTTTGTGTGTGTGTATGTACATTCAGAAAGCTAGTGAGTGTGTGTGCATGCATGCACAGGTCTATGTTTATTGTCGGTCTCAATAGCTCTCTAGGCATCCATCCATCCATCCATCCATCCATCCATCCATCCATCCATCCATCCATCCATCCATCCACCCATCTATCCACCCATCCATCCATCATCTATGTTTAATGATCTTCCACTGAACCCACAGCTTACCCACTTGGTTAGATTAGCTGGCCTGTAAGTCTCAGGGATCCCCCACCCGGTGCTGGAATTACAGTCTGAGCCACCGTCCCTGGCTCTTTTTTTTTAATGTAGGCACTGAAGATCACACTTGGGCACTCTCGCTTGCACTTTGCCAAGGGAGTCCTCTCCCAGCCCAAAAATATGTCAGGAACCACATGCTTTAGCATGTGCTGTATCTCTGGCCTAGAGAAAGATAATTCTGGTTCCGTGTTCTGCGGTTCTGTTGGGATCTGTGTCTCTTCATCTCCACCTGTCTAGCTCAGACAGTGGCTCAGAGAGCCAGGAGTAGCTCCCAGGTGCTGGTACCATGTCTGGAGGGAACAAGTGCTTTTTCTCTTCCTGGAAGAGTTGGCGCAGACACACCTCTACCTCATCGAGCTGCTTCTGGTCTGGTAGACATGGTGGTTGCTCACAGTTTACTTGCAAAATGTGTGAAAAAGGAAACAGGTGACAGAGAATACATCTAACTGCACCATGGGAAAACCAAGACATGTGCTCTGCATTTATGTGTCACGTGCCAAGGTACAGGGGCCACCGATTTGGTGGTTGCTGAGGTAGACATAAT